GCAGAAGGGAGTGGCAAGAAATATTCAAAGTTATGAATAGCAAGAACCTACAACCTAGATTACTTTATGCAGCAAAGCTCTCATTCAGAATTGAAGGTCAGATAAAGAGCTTCACAGGTAAGAAAAAGCTAAAGGAGTTCATCACCACCAAACCAGGATTATATGAAATGCTGAACGGTATCCTTTAAGAAGAGGAAGAAGAAAAAGGTAAGATACAAATTATGAACAACATATACACATCTATCAACAAGTGAACCTGAAAATCAAGTGAATAATCTGATGAATAGAATGAACTGGTGATTATAATAGAATCAGGGGCATAGAAAGGGAGTGGACTGGCTATTCTTGCGGGGAAAGGGGTGAGAGGAGTGGACTGGCTATTCTTGCGGGGGGAAAGGGGTGAGAGGGATGCTAGAAGAGACTGGACAAAAATTGTGCATCTATGGATGAGACAGTGGGTGGGGAGTGAGGGAGGAGGGTGGGGTGGGAACTGGGTGGAGGGGAGTTATGGGGGGAAAAAAGAGGAACAAATGTAATAATCCGAACAATAAAGTTTTAATTAATAATAATTAAAAAAATTCTCACCCTTAAAAAAAAAGTAAATCCTACAAGTTTTCATCACAAGGGGGAAAAAAATTTGTAACTTTATGAGGGGATAGATGTTAACATTATAGTAATCATTTCATAATATATGTGTGTCAAGTCATTATGCTGTACACTTTAAACTTATACAGTGTTGTATGCCAATTATATCTCAAAACTGAAAAAATATTCATCAGCTAGTTGATGTATATATATTCTATATGGTCTAGCTCTTATCTATCTACCTGGAACTTCCAAATTACACCAGCTCATTCTCTCCCTTTACTTACCATCTGCTAAAACACACTAACCCTCAGCCATTTGTATATACATATTTATAAATATGCACACAAGTAAACTGAGGCAGAGTTGCAATCCTCTGCCTGCTATCTTCCAAAAAAAGTAGACATGCAGTGAAGGATTTCCATCTCCAGCCCCCACTTGGCCGTACCCATCTTCCATAAGCAACTGTCGGAAAAAGTCATTGGCTGCCAGCTTAATGGCCTTCTCTGGAGTGACCAAGGTGAGGTTCACTGCAGCTCCTGGAAGTAGACAACAGAGATGAGGAGGTAAGGCCAACTCTGATGTACCAGTGCCCAGAACATGCCATGTAGATGGTCTATCTGGAACTTCCAAATTACACCAGCTCATTCTCTCAGAAGTTGTTTCTGGAGTAAACAGGGTCTCTGGGGTCAAGGAGGGTTCATGTGCTTATCTTATTGAAATAAATTTCTTTTCATCTCCCTACTTCCACTATCCTCCCACCACATTTTCCTTTTTAAATGGACTCATTGGTGCAGTTATTAGGAAATCTGTCCTTGCTAATGCTGCCTGTCTCTGATGCTAAATAAGCAGCTCCCCAAATTAATCCCCAATAAAAAGGCCCTGGGGGACAGGGATTGGTTTCAATTTCTGTGCTGTGTTTGCCAGCCCCACTGACAGCTCTGTGGGGTCATAGAGGCTTTTTTACTTTGTTCCTAAGGGGTACTATCATATCAGTTCCTTCTCAACCCCAGCTTTGTATCCATTTTCCAAGGCATAATTATGGTTGTGCCACCTTGGATAGGGACACTGCAGGAAACAGGGACAGCACTGGCCATTTCAAGAAAGAGCCACTCAGTAACTCCTTTCCAGGAACTCAAAACTCTTTCCATTCCTTCCTTGTCAGCCTCTACCTCTTCTGCTATTGGTGGTTGGATGCCTTGACAGCCTGAGAGAGGGGTGGGGCAGAGAAGGGGGTTTAGGGGTTCACTTGCCTCCAACATCACACAGTGAGGCAGTGGTTGTGCCAGGATGGAACCTAGGGCTCCTGGGCTTCTCAGTGTATTCACTGGCATCCCCCAAACCTCACCATAACTACTGTGTCTACCAAGGCACAAGAGGGCTTATGAAAAGCAATGTGGTCCAAAAGCACTTGGTAGCCCAGGCCCATCCTAGGAGTTCCCTGGGCAGAAAGAATGCTGCTTTCCAATGTCCTATAAATTCACAAAAATCTGACTCCCGTGCCATACCCTGTGTCCTCACTTGGCCTCACAAGCCAGGCCTCCCCCAGGATGCCTAGTGAGCATACCTCGGTACATGCCCAGAAAGCCCTCTACCCTTGCTGTCTTCATCAGGCAATCTATCCTAGAAGCAGAAGCCAGAAAGGGAAATTAGTAGTGAACAGGAGGCTGTACCACAACCCCCTTGCCTTCATCCAATGCTCTAATCCTGTTGGGCTCACCCCAGATGACCACCTCCACCTCCCTCCCCCACACCCTAATCTTACTCCCTAAAGAGACTATGGAGAGTGAGGCCCCACACCCCTCCTCTGGAAGCCCCCTCTTCTTACCCCCTTCTTCACCAATACCTACATTCCTTTGTAGATATCTTTTCCATGTTGGTTCTGAAGTCGAGTCTTGGCCAAGTCAATGGGGAATACACAGGTCACCCCCAGGAGCCCTGCCATGCCTCCATTGATGAGTTTTGCTGTGACACTAGGCCATGGGAAGTAGGGAGGCACAGAGTGAGTGAGGGAGGCACAGGCATAGGAGCATGGAAGGAGGCTGGCTGCAGAAAGCTACCCACAGCCAGGACTGGATGGGGAAATGGAGGGAGGCCAGCAGGAAAGCAGGAACAGAGCAGAGCAAGCATAGGAATGGCAGCTCCATTGACTTCAGCCCCACAGGCATCCATAGGCCCCTCTCCTCAGCTTCTTGCCCCTACCCCAGCAATCCTTCTGCTCGACTTGTCATGCCTCCCTCACTTGGTCCAGTTCCAGAGATAGGTTAGGGGCCAGGACCCAGAGGGCCTAGCCACTTCCTTCAGGGGTACTACCCTCACCAGGGCTGAAGCCTCTTGCCCTAACCCCACAGGGAGATGTTCATAAAGCTAGGAGACTGCCAGGGCTTCTGGGAAGGATGCCAGAGTGCCAACTCTGCCCCCTGGGGCTCCACTAGTGTGCAGGAGGTTCTTAGCTGGGACTCAGAGTATCCCCTGCAGAGTCTCCACCCAAGGCCTGTTCTCTGGCTTATCCCCATCTGCAGGGCCACGTGTGGACACATTTTCAAACACACTGAACTTTTATTTCAGACTTAAGGTCATCAGAACTGATTTTGAATCCTGGCTATTCTGTTAGTTTAGCAAATTATCTCACTTCTCTGATCCTTTGTTTTCCCCTCTGTACAACTGGCTCATGCATTTAGTAACTGATAGCTATTATTAATAAGAGAACACACTTTTCTGACATGATATTTCTAGTCAGCATGAAATAACCCAGGTTAATTGATATTATCTAGTCAAAAGTAAAGAAAAGTCCCTCTTGCCAAACCAGTTTGGCTCAGTGGATAGAGCATTGGCCTGTGGACTGAAAGGTCCCGGGTTCGAATCTGGTCACGGGCCTGTACCATGGTTGCGGGCACATCCCCAGTGGGAGGTGTGTGGGAGGCAGCTGATCGATGTTTCTCTCTCATTGATGTTTCTAACTCTCTATCCCTCTCCCTTCCTCTCTGTAAAAAATCAATAAAATATATATTTTTTTTTTTAAAAAGAAAAGTCCCTCTCATCATTTTTTAAGTCTGAAAATAGAAAATGGAGCCTAGTAACATTTTCTTATCTTTCTGGCCAGAGGCAGATGTGAGCAAAATATTTGGTGGTAGATTACCTGAAAGTGGTAAGAGCAGATAATAGGTTTAAATTTTGCAGGCTGAAGAGATGCAGTTCAAAGAATTACAAATTATATTTAAATATATGTATCTATAAAAAATATTTTTGTATATAGGAAATGGGTCCCTTTTGCTGTTCCCCAGGATTCAGCTAATACTTTAGGAATATGGAAGGGAAGCTTAGTGATGCG